TAATATTATAATATTTTGCATAATATTAAAATTTTTTAGGATGATTTTGAAAGTTAAAAAAAAATGCATTTATGTAAAAAATCTTTTGTAACTTTATAAATGGCTTTACTGTCACTTTTAATCACTTTAATGCACCCTTGCTGAATAAAAGTTGTTATAAAAGTTATTAATTTGCTAAAAACTTTTATTGACCCTTTTGAACTGATGTGTATGTATGTGAACAAAGAACGGAAATGTGGATACCTATAGGAAAGAAAACTCACAAATGGCATCTCATTAATAGCTCATTTGTTTTTCTTAGACGTCACTGAGGTTGAATGAGAGCAAACGGACACTTCTTTTCAGACTGAAGTGGTTTCCAGGGTCCAGTGAAATTTTGAAATCTTAATTTTTAAAGAAATGTTAAAGGTTTAATATTATAATTGTGTTAATTTTTTTTCTCCTTACTGAATTAAGTTGAACTATAAAAGAGAAAAAGAGTGTAATTTACCTCTGGATATAGACTATTATTCACAGTATTAGCTGTGAGAGGAGAATATATTATTTTTATTATTCAGTGGGGTGAATCATCTCCACTCTTAATTGCAAAACTCTCTAGAATATTCTACACACATTCCTCTCATACTACACCACTCCCCTGTTATCCTTATTTAGTAGGCTATATTACACAAACCTTAAGTGTCTCTCCCTCACTTTTTATCTTTGTTTCATGAGAATACAAAATGCTCTTCATGCACATTACCCTAATATCCCTCATATCATGCAGGCACAGTGCACAGGCTCTCATGTCGCCCATGGCCTCAAAACATTAGCCCCACTAGTGCTAACTCACAGTTAGCCGTGGAATATCTCTCAGTTTTTGTAGCCTCCAAAAACTGAGTGCTCCATCCTGAGGTCTTGTTTATCTCTTCATTTTCAGTATAAAAATATAGCTGATTTGATCTGAAAGCCCCCGAAGGTTTCTTTGGGAGAGTCTGTGCCACATCAGGCACAAACAAGAATACATTTGCAAGTTCAGAGACGCTGTTTTTATTTTCTAGGCATTTATTGGCTGTGAAAGTGCTGTAGACCGTGGGCTGAGGGTTTGTTTCCCCAGCTGCTGGAGGTATTTCATCGGCTTTGACTCTAGTAGTGCAGATAGTCTGTTGTCATCTCTCATTCACTTCCTTTTCCTGTCCTGGGGTGTGTACACATGCACAGACACACACAGCAAACACACTCTTTATGTGTCATATGCACTGCGGCCCCCCTCAAACCATCACAGCAGCTGGAGATATCAAATGCAGTTCAGTAGTAACACAATATGTTTTTCTATTTGCATGTGCCATTTTCAGATTTTTTTATCAGGTCTGTCATCTCACCGTAGCATTTCCTGTGGAGTAACTTGCGTGATAGTTCACTGCAGTGTGCATGTTTGTCTTTTTCATTAGATTTTGAGCTGTGTTGATTTTAGCAGCTTGATCTTGATTCCTGAAAACCACACAAAGAGATCCTGGGATGCG